ACTCTACGAAAGGAGTTAAAAACATGTCGAGAACGAACCCGGTGAGTCGAGGTGTGTCGGGAACTGAGTTGCAGATCTCAACTAAGTTGGTGACAGCATCTTTCACGAGTGGTCCCTGGATTTCAACTAAACTACTCATAAACTTGAAAAAATCAATGTCTGGGTCAGGTTGAGGGAGGTTGATGAATTTGATGGGGCTGATGGTGGAGGGTGTTCTATCGGCGGAGAGAGAGTCGACATAGGCGCAGACTTTTGCGTCGTAGGGTGGCTTGATGGTGATGATTGTGATGGAGAGGTTGGAATTGAGATGCACTAAAAGCTTAGCCAATTGAACTGTGGGTACCAAATGGCCCATTCCAGGCAATGGGATGAACACTAGCTCTGCTTTCTTCGTCATCGGAACAGAACAGAATAGCTCTATGCCGTACACTGCAGCAGCGAACTATGAGATCGACGGAAGCGTTTGGAGTGTTGGTTTGGAATTTGACTGATCCTTTCGGGGTTATTAAATTTAAAGCTGATAGACAATTAGTGAGGTGAGAGAGGTATATGATGTCATTTTTCGAAAATATTTGGTTTTAGTCGTTTATATTTTCAATTTATTTTATTTCAGTCATTTAATTGTTAATCCCCGTTATTTTATTGATATGATATGTTCTTAAAAATAATTAAATATTATCTTGATATCTGGATATTAAATAAGATATTAATTTAATTTTAAATTTTACTTACAATATTAATTTAATTTTTAAATTTTATATGAAACATCAATTTGATTCTTAAATCTAATTAAAATTTACTTCGTTGGTTGTCCCACATTACCGCCGTCGGTATCGGTTTCCATCACCGATGATTCGACGTCGAAATTTCTAATCCAGACCTTTTTGGCATTTAGGTCGAAAATGCAATGCCTATTTTTAAAAAATAAAGGATAAAAAATTAATCAAACTAGTTTCTTTAATCATCGCGTTAACTTTAATTTATTTTGTAATCTGTATTAGGTGAGAAATAAAGGTTAGATTAGGTGAACACCTTGCATGTCGCACAAAGCAGAGACCAATTTCCAGCTAGCAAAGAAGGATTATTTGTCTCAATCTTCAATAATTGCTCCTAGCAGAATATATAGGAAAAATGTGTTATATAGAGAGAAACCACCTCAATTACATTTCAAGAAACAAAATATATAGGACCCGCAACAATTACATTTCAAGAGGACAATGAAACAAAAGTTTAATATAAAAAAATATTTAAATTATGTCCAATTTCTCATTTAAATGTCTAGATATTTTTCGATCAATAATCCCATATAAACATTTAACGACGACCTACGTCGTGTTTATGAAATTTTAAAACTTGTATTTAAAATAAAATATATATAATTATAATTTTATTTTCTAATAAAAATCCAATTTAATAGTAATGGAATAATTAAGCTGATTTGCTAAGCACATCACATTCTTTAATAGTCTAAATTTTAGATTGATTATGAGGAGCGACCTAGGTACCTAGGAGCTTGTGGTCACAGTCTCCCAAAACAAAATTAATAATAAAATAATGTAGAAATATTTATTTATTTATATTTTGATTTATTTTGATTTTTATCCTCTCTTATTTTATATTATTAATTATATTTTTTCTTTTAATTAAAATTTTGGTTTAATCTTTCATTATAAAATAGTATTTGTTCATAATCTTTCTTAGTTATTAACAACATACATATATTTACAGGTGCAATTATTTGGACCAACGGCCTTTAAGAATAACAACATTCACTTTAACCAATGAAATCACTTGAATTATGAGACGAAGAACTAGGAGCCTAATTAAGCCACTTAGAGTATTTTTTACAGCCTTAATTGAAACTACTAAAAATACAAAACACATTTTGGACATTTATGTAATGTAATTCTAAAATGTAATTTTAATAGTAAAATTAGATATTTTAATTGAAATTAATAGTAAAATGTAATTTTAATTACAATTGGAGGGTCAAATGAGATATTTTCCATTGATTTAGTATATCACATCACCTATTTAATGACAGTGGTATTGTGCTCATTTTATAACAAAATCTAAAATCTATTTTAGAAATTTTAAAAGGTTAATATCTAAAAAGACAATTTTAATATAATTTAGTGCTCATTTGTAAATTCAATCCTATAAAATTAGTGGCTATGTAAATGCATGGCATTCACTGCAGAAATTTTCACATTATTTGGGGTAGTTCTTAATCCTTTATAGTACAAGATTTATATAACCCATATTAACATCAATCACTAACAAATTTCTAAGTGATACTACCAACTTCTTAACTAATTATTGTTATTTCTAATTACATTCTAACAAACATGTTAATAAAAAATAATTTGATTTTTTAAATTTTTATTTTTGATCTTTTATTTTTTTCGGTAAAACAAACATTAGATTCTTGTTCGGAAAGTCAAAAGGGGGTGAGGAGTGGTGGCTAGTAACATTAACTTTGATTGAATTCAAAGATCAATTTGATATTTTTAATCTTTTATTTCTAACTTTGATTGATTTGAGTTGATTCTATTCAGTTTTAAAATTATTACAGAATTTTAACAAGTCGAATAACTTGATAAATTCACGAATAATTTGTTGTTAATTGTCTTATTTTTTGCATCTATTATATATATATTAAACTTTTTTTCTTCAATAATAGTTGTAATATGTTAGTTTAGTATATTTGTCGATTCATATTTTGAGTTTAGACTTTAGCTCGATATATTTTTGGATTGATGTTTTGAGTTTAGATTTTTGAATTTATTCAAACACTATTTTAATTGTGTTTTTTTGTTTAATTTGTTCATTTAAATTTATATCAAGCTCTACATAATAGTACTAGATTTTACATATATTTAAATAAAAATTAAGATAAAAATTCTAGCGGCTTAACGAGCGACTAGTCGAATTGAACAATGAATTTTTTTAATAGCATAAATCGAGCAACGAGTCGATTGGAACAACGAATTCTTTTAATGAACATAAATTACGCATTATTCAACTCGTCATCGACTCACTTGATACACAACCCTAATCGTGGCATTTTTCTAGAGAAAATATCAAAGATTTTTATGAGAAAAATATTATGTATTATATTTTAATTGATTTTTTGTTATTATATTAAATTCTATCAATAAACATATCAAACATGTAATTAACTCTTATGATTATGAATTTTCAAATTGTTAAAAAACAATAGTAATTTTTAAATATTATTTTGGGTAAACTACAAAAATGACCACCCAACCATGGACTTGGTTTCGACATGACCACCATTTTCAAATTTTGCGTCAATATGACCATTGAACTATTTAAATAGTTTCAATATAGCCACCTGCAGTTAATATTTAATGGAAGTGTTTACGTGCTAGTTAACAAATTTGGTATAATTAAGGTTTGGGTCCTTGTAAAGTTACGTATTTGTGGTACTGGAACCCTCCTTTGATTTCTTCCATTTTGGTCACTACTTGTATATGATTTGTTTCTTTGGATTTTCATTTGTTGCAATTTGATACACATTCTGTTTTTAATTTGTCTACTACCTTAATTTGAGCATTAACTTTAAAATATTTTATTCTAGTCTTGTATTAAATTTATAGATTAAATCCCCTAGATTTTAGAATTAATCGTTGAGCCAATTATCACACTTGTTATCAAGATAATACATATGTTATATAACATGTTCAAGTTTAGGTTGAAAAACAAAACTAAAATAACTTAATTGTATTTGAACCCAAAATCAATTGGTAACCAAGCAAAGCCTTAATCAATAGGCTAAATCTAATATTTAGGAATCAGTTAAAATATTTTTATATATTATATATTATAGTTAATGATAGAAATAAAAATAGACAAATGATGACTTAAATCTAGGCCAATTGAGAAAATGATAACACTTAAATTGCTAAAAAAAATTAATATACTATTTATAATTAATGTAAAATTTTAATTTTTTAAATTAAATTTATTTATTAATGATTATATATAAAATTAAATTAAAATTTTGTTTAGCATACTCAAATTCACGAGCACAATTTAAAATCAAAAGATAAATTTATAATTTGAATTTAATTTTTTTATATGATTATAATTTGAATCTTAATTTTTTCTTCTTCTGATTATAATTTGAATATTAAATTATTTTTTTAATGATTTCATATATATAATCATTAAAAATAAATATGAAAACAATAAATTTAGTTTAAAAATTTAAATCTTAAAGAAATTATAAATAAACTATTAGATTTATTTTAGTGATTTAAGTGTTGTCATATTCTCAATTGTCTTTGATGTAAGTTCTCACTTATCCGTATTTATTTAATTTTATCATTAACTATAATATATAGATATATTAAAACTTGCTTGGTTACTAATTCGTTTTGGTTCAAATCCAATTAAATTATTTTAATTTTTCTACCTAAACTTGAACAAGTTATATAACATATGTATTATATCAATAACAAGCGTGAGAATTAGCTCAGTGGTTAAGCATGTGCATGTTACCCTTGGGACCCAAGTTGGATTTCCTTTGGTGTCAAAACTCATCTTCATTTATTTTCACTACAATTCAAAAGGTGACATGTATAACCTTTTGATTGGCTCAACGATTAATTGTAAAATCTAGAGAATTTAATCTATATATTTAATATGTGACTAGATTAAAAAGATTTTAAAGTTAAAGCTCAGATTAAGGCATTAGACAAATTAAAAAAAACTCAAGATCAGATTGCATTAAATAAAAATCCAATGAAACAAATCATATACAGGTAACGATCAAAATAGAAGAAGAAGAAAAAGGTTCCAATGCCGCAAATATGTAACTTTACAATGACTCACCCTAATTATATCAATTTTGTTTAACTGTCATGTAAAGACTTCAATTAAATATTAACGACAGATTACTATATTGAAACTATTTAAATAGTTTAATAGTCATATTGATGTAAATTTAAAAATAATGGTCATTTCAAGACCAAACCCATAATTGGGTGGTTATTTATGTAGTTTACCCTATTTTTTTCATGACAAATTATCAATAACATCATCTATAAAACGACGTAACGTGGACTGTGAAGTTCCACCGTCTAACAATGCTTTGCTACTCCTATCACCTATATTCTTCATCTTCTTTCGAACATCACTATCACGATCCATCAACCACCTGATTCCTCTCTCTATCTCATCAGCCTTCACAATTTCGACTTCATCGCCGTAATTCTTATAATCCATTTTAAGATCAATGGCTATTCCCAACTCCTTCACCAATAAGAAGGCATTCATATGTTGTTCCCCAAAATGCGGCCATGCTGCCATCGGCACTCTAAACCATATGCTCTCCAACGTTGAATTCCAACCACAATGTGATACGAACCCTCCGGTTGCCGGATGACTCAAGACAGCCGCTTGTGGTACCCAGCCGGTGACCTTTCCGACCTTAGCCGTCCGATCTAAGAACCCTTCCGGCAATGCATCGGCCATGTTCCCATAATCAGTCGGTTTTCCCCTGATGCCATTTACTTTCTCTCCAGGTCGCCGAAGGGACCACAGAAACCGGTACCCACTTTGCTCTAGTGCATTGGCGATCTCTGTCACCTGTTCCACACTGAAGCTTCCCATGCTCCCGAAGCAGAGGAACACTACCGATGAAGGAGGTTGTTCGTCCATCCATTGCATGATTGTATCATGATTATGATGAGTCTCACTTGAACTTGAGAAATCCAATATGGGTCCCACCGGATAAATGGCTGGATTTCGAAGCTTATGATTAGAAAGAGAGTCAATCGCGTGTGATTCAAGCTCCGAAAATGTATTTACCATTATACCCTTCACCTCTCGTAGCCGTCGTCCCATATCAAGGAAGAAGGTAACAACTTCAGAACTGGTCCTATTGAATGGAATTAATCTAGTGGAAACCGGGTTGACATATGATGGAATGGTGAACTCAGTTTCCGAGTCTTTTAACTCTAGGAGCTTCACGCTTTGCTCATCGTGTAGAACTTGAACGTAGAATTCAAAGCCAAGAAAAGCGGCACCCGAGGTGTAAAATACATAGCTAGGAACGCCGAATTCGTTAGCCAAGTCTACGAAACCGGTTAAAAGCATGTCGAGAACGAACCCGGCGAGTCGAGGTGAGTCGGGAACTGAGTTGGAGAGCTCAACTATGTTGGTGACTGTCTCTTTCACAAATGATCGCTGGGTGTGAACTAAACCACTAATAAACTTCAAAACATCTACGTCTGGATCAGGATGAGGGAGGTTGATGAATTTGATGCGGTTGATGGTGGTGGAGGTTCTATCGGCGGAGAGAGAGTCGACGTAGGCGCAGATTTTTGCGTCGTACGGTGGCTTGACGGTGAGGATTGTGATGGAGAGACTGGAATTGAGATGAACCAAAAGCTTAGCCAATTGAACCGTGGGTACCAAATGGCCCATTCCAGGCGCAGGGATGAACACTAGCTCTGCCCTCTTCGTCATCGGAAAGGAACAGAGAAGTTATATGCAGAACACTGCAACGGCGAACGATGAAGATAGATCGACGGCTGTGTTGGTTTGGGATTTGGCTGATGTTGTTAAATTTAAAGCATTGGAGAGAAGTATGAAGTCATAGATTTGATTGGGTTATGGGCCGACTGTGTTATTTTGATAATCGGATATATACGGTTAATTTTGTTACGTTCTTAAGGCCGTTTTTGTAGTGGATTTTAATTTTTACTACGTTTTAATTTATATTTCAAGGTTTTTTTTAATACTTGATCGAGCATAAAACAATTATTACTTTTTTTTGTTAAACAAAAACAATGAAATTATTTCCTAATAAAATTTGATTCACCTAGCGGTAGTTCGATGGATTGGAAAACCTTATCCTTTTATTGTACTTTGTGGCTGAGAAACAGTAAAAGCTTTTGAAGGTACAGTTGTGGGTTTATTATTCAAATTTCCAACTTGTATGTATTTATATTCGTAAATATGAAGAGTTGTATAATATATATACATATATCTGCAACCAAAGAGGGGGAAAAAGATACAAATAGCCGCAAGCTCGGTTCAATTCGATTTTAAAATTTAATTTTTATATTTATTTTTTTAAATAAATAAAATTTAAATGATAAAATATAATTTATCAATATATTTAATTTACATTTTTTAACTTGATTCTATTTAATTTTAAGATTGGAAAGGTGGTTTGGGATTTGCTGATAGGTTGCTAAATTTAAAGCGGGGAGTCGATCAATGGAGGGAAGTATGATGTCATTGCTTTGCTTGTCACGTGCCTACATATGAGAATTTTTGTAATGTCATTTTCGTTGCCCTTTATTGTAGAAACAAGATAAGCTCTCTTTTTTTAGTAATAGAAACAATATAAGCTGCGGCGTTATTATTTTAAAATACCCAAAAAAATTCATTTATTGACCTATACTTCCCAAACAAGCATTTCTTAAATTGTCCACGTAGGTAGTTTGAGGGGTATTTTTTTTTAATTAGGGTTGTTTGAGAGGTATTGTTCCATTAAATGAATTTTGGGTTATTAAAATATAACACCATAAGTTGAAAAATAATAACAACGTAGCTCCTCATATTAACGCACAGTTTGGTTTGGTGTGGCTTTCTAAACGTACTTTTAGCTAAAATGTTTATTTTGAACATAAAATCAATGTCAAATAAATAAAAAAATAAAAGAAAATTAAGGTGAAAATAGTGGTTTCGAACCAACCGTAAAAGCTATATTTTCTAGTTTTTCCTTTTTTCAACTTTATGTTTAGAAGTAAATTATAATTTTACTATTTTACCAATGCACGGACTCCACTCAATTATGTATTTATATTTTATTTTAATAATTTAATATTGACATCCTTAAAAGACAACTATTACTTAATAATTTATTTTAATTACTTAAAAGTAAATGAAAATTCATGGTTTACATATTAAAATATTAATAGTAGGTTATTATAAAATACATTTTTATTATAACTATATTTTTAGTTTTTAGTTTTTATATTTTTATTATAGTTTAAACAGATATATCTTATATATCATTGTACTAATAAGTGTAAATATAATTTAAATTTTATATTTTAATTTACAACATAATGTATATAATGGACATTTCATTTTTTAAAACTCAATTTTTAACAACAATCTCAAACACTTAAATTTTAAACCGTACTTTTAAAAGTCACTTTTTAAAAGTATTGTCAAATTGATCTTAAGTAACATATATTTCCATGTTCAAGAAAGTGGAATTTCTGGTATGATTATGGGTTTATCATCGGAATTTTCAAACAACTTTTTTAAAAGTATATACATATGGAAAATGAAGAAAATATGTGGTCATGTCGGCAACTAAAGATTGTTTCTCATAGACTCACGGGGTACAAATTGCAAAGGCATGTGCGAGTTTTATTGTGCTCTTAGATTCATGAAATGGTTGAGATTCCTACTCCGTTGATATTCCTATTAAGGTGTTATAATTAAATTCCATATTAAATGCGGTAGTTAAAATTAGTTGACCCTTATTCCCATATGTAATGAGATAAGGAGAGATAGTATAGTAGGCTGCCCCTAACGCCAAGTTGAGAGCAACTTCCGTAGGAGACCTCCAAATTATGAAATGTCCTCCCTGAGACTCGATCCCACGACCCCAAGGTTAAATGCGATAGTTAGGCAGGATTTAAATGGCGGGAGTGGGGATCAATTGGCTTTAAAGACAGGAACGGTAGGAAAACTAGCCAAGTATTCATAGACTGGATCTGGATGTTAGGAATAAGATTAGTAGTGTTGATTTATTTTAGGTTGTTAGGAATAAGTGTTTGTGTGGCAGGATGTTTATAAAGCAAAGCAATGAAAACATTAATTATGCGTTGAAACTTTGATTTAAAATTAAAACACTTGGTAAGCGGGTTGATATTGTTTAAGCACGATCTAGAGTTTTTTGTGTAAGTAGAAAATTTCTGAGTCAGATATGTGACACGAGTCGGTCCGAATTAAATAAGACGAAACCTTAAAACCGAAAGGGAAAAAAGAAAAATTAAAGCAAAACAAATACTTTTATTAAAATGAAAATTACTTAGATTAATGTAAACCTCGTTAGAAACATTCCTAAACTTAAACGAAAAAAAAAATATTTACGACGAGGAGAAAAAATCAAAGTGATAATATTCATGACCTCATTCTTCACAACTATTAACATTAGTAATCTCATAGTTCTTCAATTGATGTAGATGAATGTTTGATCTCTACTCAACATGTCATTCATTTTTTGGTTTTTTATTCTTATGCTTCTCACTCTCTTATGTTGGTTGTGTACCATATCTAATTTTATCTGATAATCATGTTGAAATTAGGTCGAAAGGAGGATACTACGACTTAAAATCAACGTGATATGAATTATAATTATAAATAATATATGTGTGCGATTGTAATTAGAATTAATTAATAAATTCTTACAATTAATAAAAGTAACATATATAATGAGAATTTTACTAAGATAAATCAAGATTAATTTGGAATCTCATAAATCTAAAATTAAACTTTTTTCAATATGGCTAGTATCTATTTACTCTTTTTTAGGAAAGATGTATATTGTACTTAAATATGATTGAAATGGTTAATTGAATTTAATATGATTGATATTGTTGTCAATATAAAATATATGATGAAGTGAGGTCCAATATCTTAAAGAGTAGTTTGAACTCTTTTTTTTTCTTTTACAGTTTGTGTAATTTTTTATAGATAAAATATTTTTTTTATTTTCTTTAGATGGTGACGACATCGATTTTGATACTGATTATTGGTCGTCGGTTGTTTTTTCTTTGTTTCTTTTTTATTTTTTTAATGAGAATAATTCGGTCTTTTGACCGTTGTTTTCGTTTATCTTTTTCCTCTGGGTTGGATTTGACATCGTCGTGACTGATTAAGATGGCGCTTATTTGTTATCATATTGATCTTCCCTGCTTTGGACTCTCATATTGATTTGGATACATATTTTGCATTATTGTATAGTTTTTTCACGTTGCTCTACTTTGATTTGTGATTTTTTAGTGGTCTTTCGGTAGTTTAATCCCTTTTATGATTCGTTTGCCAATGCAGTCAGATTTATTCGTATCTTTATTTTATTAAAAGCTTTTGGTTATATTTTTAACATTTTTCCTTTTTTGGTACTTGTATGATCTAGGTGTCAAGTTACGGCTGTGCTTGTAAATCTTCATTATAATTATGGAAGTTGTAATAAAACTAACAACTTTCTATTAAAAAGTTTGAATATTCTAAACATTGTATAGAAATGGATTAAATAACATAAATAATATTTAAAACAATTACACCAAACCTTCTTATATTATGTTTTTCAATTTAAATTAATCATCAAAATTTTGAATATATCAATTTTATCTTCAAATTATAGTCTTATTTGTTTTTTTATTTTCATTAAAATTGTTGCTAAATATAAACTAATTGAAAATGTTTCTAAAAGCGCGAAGATAAGAACTTTTGAAAGAAAGAAGACTTGTCCAGCTGATAAGTAGTGATCTTTACACATTGAGGAGAAAGCAAGCAAGAACAAAAAGTGAAAACAAAACCCTAAAAAATCCTCCCACAATCTTCCTCCATTTCCAAGCAAGCATATATTCCAACAAGCTAAAAAGAAGAAACAATAAGAATCAGATTACATTACAGCAATGATGGCCTTTGAATCTTGTTTAGTGTCTCTATGTTAATGATTCCCTTTTCTGCCCCACCTATATATATTTATATATAAACAGCCTGCTTCATTCCCTAAGCATCGCTTAGTTACATCCATGGAGTCAAGGAGGCACTGTTTAAAGTTTCTCTATGCATTCCTACGCATTTCAGCCACCATTCTCTTCACTCACCGTGGTATGTAAATTCCTTCTGCTTCTTTCATTTTGTTTCGTATTCAGTTGAGGTATGATTTGTTGTTTCGTTTTGTTTGTAAAGATGCCAGATTTATGGTTCATGCATGGAAGCACCATGGCTCAAGCCTCCATCAAAAGCTAAGAACAACCGATCGTGCTGCCTCGAATGGTGATCCGTATACCCTCGACTCACCTATTTTTCTACCTCCTTTGGACTCTTTATCGCCACTCTCCTCCATTTACCCCAAAATCACCTTCCAAACCTCCTCCGCCTCCAACAAGTTATGGCCTACCGACACCTCCACCGCCGAGTAACATCATCCACAGCCCGCCGCTAAATCCACCTGAAACAGCTCCTCCGAAACATGGGTTCAAATCACCTAGCATTTTCCCAAGTCCACCCAAACAAGTTCCTACGCCCCCTAAGCAGGTTCCTGGCCGACCCATTTCCGAACCTCGTCCTCCTCCACACAAAGGGTCACGGTCCGGTGCTTGGTGTGTGGCTAAGCAGACAGTGCCTGATTCGTTGATCCAAGCGGCCAAAGATTATGCATGTGGGTCTGGTGCAGATTGCAAGTCGATTCAACCCAACCAGGCCTGCTTCCAGCCCAACACAATGATGCCTCATGCATCATACGCTTTCAACAGTTACTGGCAAAACACAAAGGGGCGTGGTGGCACTTGTGAGTTCGGAGGAACTGCCATGCTTGTTACCGTTGATCCTAGTAAGTTCCATTCGATTTTTATTCTCAAAATCTAAAACTTCCCCATATGCAAATGAAAAGTCTCATTATATGAATTTCTCATTTTTTTAATGAAAATTGGCAGGTTTTGGTAAATGCAAGTTCAGCAACAATTGAACACACGAATGAGCCATTTGAGAGACCAATGATTTCAGAGTTTGAACCAGCACTGTGGCTAGATGCGACTTTTACTTGGATATAGCTACTTAATTCAGCTGTTGAGCTTGGTTCCTTTATTCTATTAACCTGATAGACTTCCATGAAAAGTGTATTTTATATACACGTATATATAATACATATACCCTATGTAGTTAATATGAAAGGTAACAATGCAACTAGTACAGCAGAATGCGAGTTCCCTTTGCAATTATAATTACCAAATTTTGGCATCTGGACAACATGTATTATAGAAAGAAGTATTAATCTAAGCATTAAATCTTAGATCCTAAACATTAAACTCGATTAATAATTGAGTGATAAATTTAATATTAATCGATAATATTAATGATTTAATTGTTACTTTTGAAACATCAATAAAAAATATTTAAACATTAATAATCATTTTCTATAGTTTAACATCAAATATATCAATTGTAAAAAGATTATAATAGAATGAGTAAATTAATCTATTTCAAAGGTTTAATTTAAACATATCGTGAAAATGACCTTTGTTCTCGAGTCCGTCACCTTCAGAAATTTTTGCCGCCATAAATCCTAAACCATGATCACCCCCTCTGAAATAATCATCCAGCTCAGTTGGTAGAGTACAAGGTTCTTAATCTTGAGGTCATAGGATTAAGTCTCATGGAGGGCATTTCATAATTTGAAGGTCTCCTACGGAAGTTGCTCACAACTTAGTGTTGGGCAGCCTACTATCTTACCTTCCTCTTACCCCGTTACATATGGGAACAAGGAATAAGGGACAACCATGATCACCCCCTCCGCCACTAAAATTAAAACCAATGCCATTCCTCACCGCGAACGAGCTCGGGTTCCTCCTGGAATCCGCCATCTCCACGCGGTCCATCCTTTTCGGCCGAGCCACTCACGCCCACGTCCTCAAAACTCTTCAAATCCCGCTCCCTTCTTTCCTTTCCAACCACCTTATCAACATGTACTCCAAACTCGATCTCCCTAACGCCGCCCACCTCGTCCTCTTACAAACCCCACCTCAGTCTCGTTCCGTCGTCACTTGGACCGCTCTCATTTCGGGTCATGTCCAAAACGGCCTTTTCACTCCCGCTCTCCTCCATTTTTCCCGCATGCGAAGTGAAGGAATATCTCCCAACGATTTCACCTTTCCTTGCGCTTTAAAGGCCTCCGCGTCGCTTCGGCTACCCGTTGTGGGGAAACAAATTCACGCGCTAGCTTTAAAGTCATCTCAGATTTTTTATTCCTTTGTTGGCTGTAGTTGTTTCGATATGTATATGAAAACGGGGCTTAGAGATGAAGCAACAAAAGTGTTCGACGAAATGCCTGAGAGAAGTATTGCTATGTGGAATGCAAATATTTCTAATGCAGTGCTTGATGGGAAGCCGAGAACAGCTGTGGATATCTTTATTCAGTTTAGAAGGATCGGCGGTGAACCTGATCCGATTACGTTCTGCCTTTTTCTTAATGCGTGTTCGGATGCTTCTTATTTGACGTTAGGGAGGCAGTTACATGGATATGTGATTCTAAGCGGTTTTGATAGGAATTTGTCCGTCTGCAATGGGCTTATTGATTTTTATGGCAAGTGTAAGGAGGTGGAAGACGCGAGGATGGTCTTTGATGATATGGAGAAAAGAAATGCTGTTTCCTGGTGCTCATTGATATCTGCTTATGCGCAAAACTATGAAGAAGAAACTGCTTGTGGAATGTTTTTGGAAGCAAGGAAAGAAGGGGTTGAGCCGACTGATTTTATGGTCTCGAGTGTTATCAGTGCTTGCGCTGGGATGGCAGGGCTTGAATTCGGTAGATCGATTCATGCGCTTGCTGTTAAGGCTTGTGTCGAAGGGAATGTTTTCGTCGGGAGTGCATTAGTCGATATGTATGGTAAATGTGGAAGCATCGAGGACTCGGAGAAAGCTTTTTATGAGATACCGGAGAGGAATTTAGTTAGTTGGAATGCAATGATAGGTAGTTATGCTCATCAAGGGCTTGCCAACATGGCTTTAGCATTGTTTCAAAACATGATATCTTGGGGTAAAGTTGTTCCCAATTACGTGACTTTGGTTTGTGTATTATCAGCTTGTAGTAGAGCAGGGGCGGTAAAAATGGGTATGGAGATTTTCAAATCAATGAAGGAAAAGTTTCGGATTCAACCAGGGGCAGAGCATTATGCTTGCATCGTGGATTTGCTTGGGAGAGCTGGGATGGTTGAGAATGCTTATGAGTTCATTAAGAAAATGCCTATTCGTCCAACAATTTCCGTCTGGGGTGCTCTTTTAAATGCCTGTAGGGTGTATAGAAAACCAAACTTGGGGAAGATAGCTGCTAAAAAACTATTCGAACTCGATCCAAAGGACTCCGGTAACCATGTGCTGCTATCTAATCTATTTGCATCAACCGGCAGGTGGGCGGAGGCTGATCTTGTGAGGAAGGAGATGAAAGATGTCGGGATCAACAAGGGTGCAGGTTGTAGTTGGATCACAGTGAAGAACAAAGTCCACACCTTCCGAGCAAAGGATACGTCACATGAAATGAATTCTAAGATTCAAGAGATGTTGGCTAAACTCGGGAATGACATGAAGGTGGCCGGCTACGTTCCGGACATCGATTTTGTGCTCGTCGACGTAGAAGAAGAAGAGAAAATGTCAGAGGTTGGGTACCATAGTGAGAAAATTGCTCTTGCCTTTGCTCTTATAGCTATACCTCCTGGAGTACCTATAAGAATCACAAAGAACCTTAGAATCTGTGGAGATTGTCATAGCGCCTTCAAGTTTATATCAGGCATTGTTGGGAGAGAAATTATTGTGAGAGATAATAACCGATTTCATCGATTTAAGGACGGGCAATGCTCGTGTCGAGATTATTGGTGAATAGTTTATACGCTGAACGGAACTTTTTATTGAAATATAATCAATAGTACACATGGCCAGTAAGTTATATTTATTCTATTATTTGAGTCAATGAATTTTTCGAAATTACAAAACATTTAGTAGAGTCAAATAAATATAATCTATACTTTCTCCTCATAATCAAAACAAAAACCTTGATCTCTGATCTTCATTCCAACTTTCTAAATTTTTTTAAATAATTACTTATTTCCTAACAATTTTAAAATTAAATAGTTTCATTCATAAGTTATAGTAAATGATAAAAGATTGATCGACTCCTAGAACGTGAATGCACAAATCGAAACGGTAAGTCGAAGTCAAACTAATCCCACCTTTATTAAAAACACTTTTACTGAAGACGAATTCCTTGACTGCTTTCTGCATTACACGTATAAAAATTAAACAGTTTTCTTTTTGCCTCTTTTGTTTTTTCAACTTTGCGATCAACGTACAAATTGGGAAAAATTATTAAAGATTTGAAAGAAATAAAAATAAAAATTGTGTTCCCTTCTTCCTCGAATGATTAAAAAAAATTAAATAAAGAATGGAGTACGATCTTAGTTTCTTCTAATTTGCGGTAAAATTACTAAATTGTTGATTTTTATTGTTTCCATTGTTGTTGATTTTACTAGTGGCGATTGTGGTGACATGCCATTACTGTTGGTGGTGGACGTGAGGTTCTCTCCATTATTATTAGTGATGTTGTTGGTGTGAGAGCTCCAGATAATAGAAGCGATCGCGGTGGTGGCAGCGTTAACGGTTTCGGCAAATGCATTTTGCTAGTCTTGTTGAAGTTGGTGATTCCATTGAGGTTGTTCGATGTCGTGAGACATTCGTAAACCAGAGAATTTGGAATGGTTGTAAAGTGCCTGGCCGAAAATCTGGGGCAGCAACGGCAATGGCGAGGCTTGGGGATTGGGGTGCGATTGTGGGTTAGGGGATGAGACCTGGAATTGACCTTCGGGCCTGGGGAACTATAAAGGGTTAGGGGTCTGGGCGAGGTCTAAGGTGACGGTGGGGAATTGTTGGGAATCACGGTCTTTCCCGCTTCGTGAAGTTAAGATAGACACTTAGATATTAATGATAGTAAAGAGAGCACAATAGTATAATTTTCCAATTTTGAGATTATTCCACTATACAAAAGAATAGTAGGATTACAAGGATGTGTTCACAAAATTTGACTCACACTTGGTAGCTCACTCAAGCTTGAGGATAAAAACTACCCAAGTTATCTCTATTCTCAAGCTTGGTAGCTCACACTTGGATTTATTGGATGGTTAGGAATGAAGTCTCTCACCTCTATTTATACTACTCCACCTCCACAATTAATGGTGGAGATTACTTACATCCAAGGGTGGAGATTAATTATCTAGAATTCTCCACACACTCTAAGAAGCTCTATATTCTTCCACTCCCTTACATATTCTTCCATACTCTTCCATAAGTTTCCACACATCTCCAGAATATTCCAGAGGATTCCACACTTTTCCACAAGCTTCTAGAGAGATCTACACTTCTCTAGAGTTCTTCGTAATGCTCTAGAAAATTCTACACTTCTCCAGAAAAGCTCTAGAATTTTCTAGAATCTCTCCAATTAAGGAGAGATCCAACAAATCCCCCCTTATCGACTTAATTGGGAGGTATTAGCAAGCCGACACCTTGATAGCAATCTTCGAACAACTTTGTCGGTATTACCTTGGTCATCATGTCTGACCAGTTCTCATATGTGTGAACCTTGTCAAGATGTATTTGTTTTTTTTTAGAACTTCTCGAATCCAATGATATCTAGTGTCTAGAAAATTCTAGAGCTTTCTGGAGAAGTGTAGAATTTTCTAGAGCATTCTGAAGAACTCTAGAGAAGTGTAGAACTCTCTAGAAGCTTAT